ATACGTAATAAGCTACATCCATCCATCATTCTAAACTTTCACATTTATAATATTAGTATGAAGTCATAGCAATTTTATTTTCTTGTATAAAATTGGTGACATTTCCAGTGGTATCGTTTAACTCTTATGTACCTACCTACTTAAAACGTACTTACTTAACAAAAACTTTAAATAAAATGTGTAAAAAATTATTTATTGCATTTAAAATTAATTAAAAATATATTTCTAGACCATTCAATTGTAAATTAAGTTAAAAAATATTATTTTCCCACACTCCGAGACATGCCGTACAAGTTAAATTGTTTTTTTTTCACTGCATCAGGCTGTTTCTTAAATCCGACTTCTTTTTTTAAATAAAATTAATGAACAAAGTAAATCTCTTTCGTGTGGAGAGGATACATCGTAGATAGCAATCGCCACCCAACACTTTCGAAGCTTAATAGGGTTTAAATAAGTTAGGGAGAATTCCAAAGACAGTAGCCAACTGTGAATATAAAGGTTTAATTCATTTTAAATATATTGGCGGCTACGCAGTGCCCTCTTCCCTTACTCTTACTACTCTCTATACCAAAAATTTGGTTCTGCGCAGCGATTTATACGATATTTGAAAAATACTATAATTTCTATAAGTTAGGTAATTCTTTACTATTTTTAATTATATTTAGACAGTTTGTGATAAATACGCTGCAATTACTTAGCCCTAACTTCACATTACATTATTGCAATGATTAAAATCACCCACCGAAGTGAGCCGCGCCGGAAGTCGCACATTCCAATGTCTTATTAAAATGGACCGAGCCTGTCTGTATATAATGGCGCATAAATTAACCTGGTATTTATGTAAATAACATATAACTCCCTTGTTAATAATCAAATACATTTAAAAAATCTTTTATTAAATACAATTATATAAATTGTTAAAATTTTTCAAAGCAAAAAATACATTTTACTAATATTATAAATGCGAATGTTTGAATGGATGTATAGATTGATGTTTGTTTAAAGGTATCTCTAGAACTTTTCCTAACTTCTATCACAATGCGTTTCAATATCTTTGTTTCCTTCATGTAATTTCAGAGCGTGTTCCACAATGAACCTTAATATGGTTAGCTTAGTCATAGTGTTGCCACGTAATTATTGCGTGACTAGTCGCAGCTAAAGGCAATTTACTCCAGCGCCTCGACGCCGCCGGGCCGTCGCGACACCCGGCGCGACCTTTCTACCCCGCTATTTAAATTTACTTAGAAATAGGGGTGCAAAATACAATAGTTGAGGGAGTGTATGGAATTATTCAGACCGATTTTCTAATATTCCGGCTATGTTTAATAATGCGTTAAGCATTTTGTATAGCGTGAATAGAAATCCTATGCGTCGAATTAATCGTGTTATCGCTTTGCTAGGGTTGCGAGTGCTTTCAATCTTGATGTCATTAATGTAATTTGATTATACTTTTGCTTACTTTAATGTCCTATTTTAAGAAATACTTTTACAATATTTTGTTATTTAAATTAGTACTTGATGATATATTTTAAATATCTTAAAATAACTAACCTTGATGTTGAATTTTAAATTTATGAGATTTTCTTTAAAATGTTACAATTCCTTGAGCAGTTTTAATCTGTATGAAATAATATATTTCAGCTATTTATTAAATAAATTACCTTATACCATGGCAATTAGTTTCTGTAGAACTGCTAGTTTGTAAAAACCTAAAGTGGACGAGGTTGTTGACTTGTTTAGGTTCGTTACCGTTAGGAAAATGAATTAGGTTTTATCGCGCCAAGGCCTCATTTTCACGAGGAGTTAGCGACACGCAATTAGCAACGAAACTTGAAACTCTAATGTACTCTACCCGGCTCCAATTACACTCACGAAAATAAATTTAATTAAACGAAAAGCTCTCGCTATAATTTAAATATTTATACTTATTACATGGAAAACAATTTGGACGTAGCTACGAATTTAAATTTTATAAAACTTAGTAATGCTAATATTATAAATGCGAAAGTTTAGATGGATGGATGGTTGTTTGTTAGGAGAGTTCTCTGGAACGGCTCAATAGTTCTTGATATATAGTCAGAAAGAACGCATGGGCATACTTACTTTTTTTAATTTCGCGCGTACGGACTGGCGGTCGACAGCTAGTTATACTATAAATTGATCGTTAAGCGATTTCTTTAGACATGCATTTAAAAATCTGTATTTTGTATACATATACAATTGAAAAAGTTTTTAACTAATCTTCTACCTGAATGTATAGTCACGCCGCGACAAACTATCGATATTGGAAGCCATTCGAGTCACTGTTGAATAAACGATCAGGTAGCATGACGACTGTTAAATTCAATACGAGTACAATGGAAACGCAGTCGACGTCGGGAGATTATCGCGGATTAACATTCCGAAGCTCGGCTGCGACCCGTATGCTTCGACAGGATGATATGAGACTAGGATTTTTTTCCTGTGACATGACGTACAACTCGGCAGTTTATCCAATATCAACTTATGCGGGCACTCGAATCTTGAGCTAGTCAGAGCAACGTTATTTATACCTGCGTTCACTGCTTCCTGAGTTCTGGTTCTCTCTATTCATCTGTCAAATAAACGCATGTCATTACAACAATTCAGAACTGTAGTTATCTCAAGTCAGTCTCAAGGTTGAGTCGTGTAGAGAATCTGGACTCGAAAGAAAGGAAGCATGTATTTGACATGATTGATTCACTTGGAAATTCATTCATACGTGCATCGTTTTGTAGATTATTTATTGACAGTAATAAGGGGCGTCCGGCATTTGGACAAGTTCGTGAATAAACGCATAATATACTTAGTGCATGAATATCGACGTAGGCATCGGATAAAACGAGGGGACCCGGCCTGCGCTGGCGGCTCCCCTTCCACAGAATTGAACGAATGACAAATTTAAATACGTAAACAATGAAAACGAACGAATGATTCATTCATTATTCACATGGTATTTGTTTTTGAAGAATAAATTATCTCCGTTACGCGTGAAGCGTTCTTGTACACTCAATTAACACTTTGAGCTTTTTATTTTTATTTATATTATATGCGGAACACGTACATTAGGGCATTCAAATTGATTTGAAGGCGTTTCGAGAATTCAAAATGGCGTCAAATTATAATTAAGCACGTTATCATCGTTAGAGTAATAGAGTACCAGAAGGGATAAAGAGCAGTAAGCTTAATTATTAAATTGAGACGCGTCGGTAATATTAATAAGAAAACTAACATGCCAGCAAACATTATATTTATTGTCGTATAACTGCGCAGTTCAAACTGTTTGAAATGTTTCATGTCAACGTATTTTGTTAAGAAATTTATATCGTTATGGATGGGTGCGAATGATGAATGAATCATCTACAGTGTTACTTTGTGTGTTCCAAATACGTACTCAAATGTATACAATTTGTTATGTATTATACAATATTTAATACAATCAACTACATAAATATGTATACATTTACCAAACATGTATACGTATTTTTGAAATCAAACACCTATACAAGATTCTAATGTTATGTACACGCAAAATATAGTTTACGAATCGATATGTAAACGTTAAATGCGTTATTGTCAAAACCATTCAATATTGATCCACGGTTGTCTTCCGATGTCTTGTTTACAGTTGTAATCGTCAATGTGGCTTGTTTTTCCGGCGATCAATAGAAATGGTCCGTTCATAACATTGTTATGCTTATATCACAACATGGAAACATTTCTAAATGTTTAATTTACCTCCAGTTGTGTTGGCGAAAAGAGTTTAAAGATTATGCTTATAGTACAAAGTTAAGCTTTTTTTAACATTTACAGTTCATATTATTAGTTTACTTAACTTAAGATTTGGGAAGAATAAATTGTAATTCCCTATAACTATAACCAATTAAAACACGACTTGCACCTTGATTTTTTTGTGGTGGGTTATAAAAATGAAGGAGTAACTTAAAGAGCTATTTTATTTACATAAAGAATTTACTGATGACAACATTTGTATACGATTTATAAACGTTTGGCCCTTCGTATGGCTTATATGATTACAATGGTCAACACACGTCAACCCTGCGCAAGCGGCATATCGACGTCGATTGACACATTGATATTTAAATGAGCTGGTGATGACTATCAAGGCAGTATTCTGGCGCATTATAGCGATCGTCTGCCGCATTCCTGGCCCATTAATTAGGCGATGTGCTTATTGAATACGCAGGTTCATAAACACGAAGGGCCGCGGTGAATAATAAGTGAGAATGAAACGATCGTGAATATCGATTTTTTATAACGATTAAAATCGAAAATACTACAAAGATTTTTAGAATTAGCTTGTTAAACAAACTACGAAATTCCAATCCTGATTGGAGATATTTTAGTGTGTATTTAGTAGATGTCATTGTTCAAAATTGGTAAAATGTTTCATATCACTCTCTATCTGCGTGTTTTTGGTACCATGTACTTTATACAATAAGCAATTGATGATCGTTAAGTAGGTGCGGGCGTTCTGCGCATGCGTTGCTTCCGTTTTTCTCCCGCCGTGGAACATGACGGTGTCTGGTGTCGGTACGTCTGAAGTGGGAGAGAATCTCGGTACTCGCTGTCGATCGATGCAACGTATAAACAGTTTACCCGCTACGTCGTCTGGTGTTCTTTAACTCTGGTAATATTAATAGATAACAATGGAGTTTCAATGCATATGTTTATTATCAGACGCTTCTTATACATACCAAAGGATGTTTGGATTCAACTGATTTTATATCAGATTTATAAATCTTAAACTAATATAAAATACTTTCCTCTGTTGTGAAAATAAGAAAAACAATACCTTGAATCTTCATTTTCTAACTTACCTATGGTTTTTATGGCAACACCGTTACTTTTAAATGACATAAATATTGTCATTACACAGTTAGAAATACCCAAACTTAATTACAGTTCCATATTAAGTTAGTGACAATAACCTTTTAATAACTGTGTATATTTTGTTACAGTGGCTTGAACTTCCAAGACCTGATAGTGCGTCAGGGTGCCATCGACTCCCCGCCAAAGACTCCATTCATCCTTGGCTTTGAGTGCGCTGGTGAGATCGAGCAGGTTGGTGAGGGGGTGACCAACTTTAAGGTATGTAATCAGTTATTAATACTCAAAAGAGAATAGACATATTTTACTTTAATTTGCACCAGAATTAAATATTATATAAGTTCTCTGAAAAAAATTAAAGAAAACGGTAAAATAATGTTAGTATCTAAATATAAATATAGAGCGTTGGTGGCTCAGTGGTTAAGCACTTGACTTGCAATCTGCAGGTCCTGAGTGCGAATCCCGCCATGTACCAATGTGTTTTTCGATTTCCGATTTACATATGTACATTTATCCGACGTTCTTACGGTGAAGGAAAACATCGTGATGCAACCTGCACATATCTGAGAAGAAATTCAAAGATATGTGTGAAGTCAACCAACCCGCACTTGGCCAGCGTGGTTGACTATGGCCTAATCACCCTTAACTTAGGGTAGGCTCCGAGCCCCTCGGTGGAGACATATAGTGAGCTGACGATGATGATTTAAATATAAAAACAGAAAAGTTACAAATTAAAAATCTTAATTTATAAGACTGTAGATATTTCCAACAATAATTTAAATATTACAAATATTTAATTCAATTTTAATTATAATGAAAATTTAGGTTGAAACGGCAACGGTAATAAAATGTACATCATTTTAGAAAACATGTAATTAGAGAGCATCTGTTATTCTGCAATCGCAAGGAAATGTTTATGTTGATTGTAGTGATTTTTATATTATGTTATAAAAGGAAGGATGCTGCTAATAGTGTCTGTACACGCGATATATTTTATGTCCAACTATAGCTATTTTATTTGAGTTTGTTGAATATTTTCTTTTAAAAAGATTACGCGAGGGTAATCTTTTTTGTCTCAATCTCTCATCTGTACAACTCATCCAGTGCTTGCTTTGTGAATTCACTTGCATACGAAAATCGTATTGGCATGTAACGTGTTAACAAATGAGAACCATAAGAAGACTAATGATAATTACATTTCAGGTTGGCGATCAAGTAGTTGCCCTTCCGGAGTACAGAGCATGGGCGGAGTTGGTCTCCGTGCCAGCTCAATACGTGTACGCCCTGCCCGAGGGTATGACTGCGCTGGATGCGGTGGCGGTTACCACCAACTACGTGGTGGCTTATCTGCTGCTGTTCGAGATGGCCAATCTCACTCCGGGCAAGAGCCTACTCGTGCACTCCGCCGGCGGTGGCGTGGTATGTACTAACATTTTATGCTGCTTACTTTCAATAGCGGTTCTATCATATAACACAAATCCCGACTTCTCTTTCCATTCTAGGATTTCTTAACATCTATGAAATTAGGTACAAATGTAATAAATCGAAAATTGTGTCTTGGCATGTCTTATTCTGAAACCCTAGACACGCTTTTTGCGGGCAGCAGAACAAGAACTTTGAGGTTTTTAACGACCGCTGCCCATTGTGTACAAAAATATGTAACATTAAGGAAAAAATAAGTATTATTCTTTATTCTCCATTCTTCTTTAACTAATTGTATGTGCTGTGATCTATTTCTGTAGTAACTGTAGTGTAAATAAATCAAATTTTTGCACTAATTAGTGAATTAGACGAGAATAGTTATAATTAGCTGTAATTATCACTGTCAATGACGTCAACAGTTGAACGTGTCAGTGAACTTCTAATTAAACATTAACAACATTCTAAAGGCGTGGTCGTTTCTTAAGTGTTCATTATTATAACTTGTTAAGTTTCTACTACGATATTTTAACTAATACATTTGGTTTCTGCAACAAGTAATAGAACAGCGGTAATTACGAAATCTTCGTTGGCTATAATTACTCAGACATACGCAATATTGTAAACTAACATAGTAAATTATTTAAAAAACAATTATTGGTAGTTAAATACAACAGTCATAAACTTTTAAACTTATCAAAGGATAGTTAAGTTCAAGTTTGGTAGTCTGGTGTAGTGGTATCCTGTAAAGTTATATTGTAATTGTCTAGGGCCAAGCCGTGGCGCAACTTGCAAAGACCGTAGACAACGTGACGGTGTTCGGCGTGTGCTCCAAGACGAAGCACGAAGCGCTTAAGGCCAACAACAACAACATTGACCACCTACTCGAGAGGGGCAGCGATTACACCAATGAAGTCAGAAAGTAAGTAACATCATTGCAGTATTCAAAATAATATAAAAAATCTTATCTCCTGTAGTTATTACAGTTTAAAAGCTAGAAAACTTTATTCAGATGCTTGATAGCCTTGCCGGCCTAAACAGTCTAACAATTGTCTATATTAAGTTAAACGTCGTTATTAGAAAGCTGTTCCAACTTTTGACTTCATAAAGCGTTCATAATTATTACTTTTCTTATCTCTTTGTTCATTAATATAAACATAGTAATGAGTCAGATCATGATTAATTCAAATTTAAAATAAAATGTAAAAATGGAGAAGGACTGTATCATGAAATCGGTGCGCTAAAAATATGAACTGAGCAATACAACGCGGCCCTTCGCACCGCTAATGGCATCTTGTATACATTGCGCGCTCAAAAAGAACATTTATTTAAAGCATTTGCGCGTTTGTGTTATTATAGCAGCAAATATTGACTTTACTGTTTGCTCTCAAAATATCGACATAATTGTTATAATAATGAAACAATATGTACTTTAAAATTTTAGCATTGATAAAAAGTTTTAACATATTATTATAACAGATTGCATGATTTATGAGTTTACTCTTAGTTTTAAAAGTTACTAACAGAGTGTTCTCATTATTAATTAAAGGGTTCGTTACATTAATTATGAACTTGTTAAAATGACATTACATTCTCTAACAATTAAATTCCCTTCCCGTGTGACTAATTCGTAGCCGCGAGACATTCGCTTCCTTTCCTCCTCAAACATTACGACGGACATCTAGTTTAGCTAATTGGATTTTATTCATTCAAAGATCCCGCATTCTTTCTGTATCAACCAATTGTTCTAGATCCCATGTTTTAATTGATGATTATTACAGCCACATACTTTAGTACCACCCATCTAGCTCGTGCGTTCAAAGTGACAAATATATCTTGACCCCTGGTGCTATCGTTTTCTTCAGAGCTAGTTGTCGCGTGTTTATCTCAAGAGATAAATTCAAAGTTCAATTTAAATGGACACTATGGGCTAATTGTTCCATTTATAATTCCCTTCGCAGCAGCTGCTTGGTAGGGGCCACGGGGCGTTTAAGACTCGTAAATAGACAAAGATATTTTTATAACGGTTTAGTTGTTTGCAACGTAAACAATCCCGAGCCGCACAATCTCAACGTAAACAAACAGACAGTTCTAAGTAATGGTCGAGAGGAAGTCGGCGGGAAAGGTTTATCGAAAAAATTCGATTTCATTAGGTCCATATGAGTGCGTTCCAAATTAAAACTATCGAGACTTTAACGCGATTGGACCACTTTGAACTGGCTTTCATTTTATAGTTCTTCTAATTTTTATTTTGCAAAACATTAACACTAGGATTATGTCATGTCAAAAGATAAACTAACGACTTTGATGACCAATGACTTAATTTATAAAAAATCGATTTAGGTTTTCCCCAATTTTTCTCCAATTTTATTGGATTTATTCTAATTCTATATATGCTTGATAGGATTTCCCCTGATGGTGTGGATATTGTGCTGGACTGCCTGTGCGGCGAGGAATGCAACCGTGGCTACCAGTTACTGAAGCCAATGGGCCGGTATATTCTCTATGGTAAGTTTACACCAATACAACCATAGACACATAAGCAATATATTTAAAAAACGAAGAAAGATATTTGTTCAAGCTATAAATAAATTATGGTATTCTAAATTTAGTATTTTCAGATGTAATAAAATTGTATTAATAAAATGTTACATTAATCAGTAACTTAGTTTTCTCTTTGTATTATTCTATCTTAAAGTGTGTTAACGTGATCGTTCGTAACAGGTTCTTCTAACATCGTGACCGGCGAGACCAAGAGCTTCTTTAGCGCTGCTCGTGCTGTGAGTTTCCAATTGATTTATATGCCTCTTTATTATTTTTATAATATTCTTCAATATACCAGAGTAGTTCCACTCTCGGAACTATTTGAATCAAGAGACATAATCTTAAGCTGATGATAAAAGCCTATCCCGAATGTGGGAAAGGCAGATAGCGTTTGTTAAGTTTAAAAGAATGATACAAAATCGTGTAGTTGTAAACATACTTGGGGTATTGATCTCAATGTACACTTCAGCTATGACTCACGGTTTACGCAAATATTCAGCGCGTTCCAAATGTTTTTAATCTATGCGCATGAAGTTTTAATATTGTTTAAGAAGTTATCTACTCATCTGCTATATAGTTACTATTAAGATATTAAATTGTATATGTATTTATTTACTTACATTAGTCAATATGGCGTTTTACTAGTAAAACATATAAAGGGTTTGTTAAAAATACTTTATGTCTTTTACGAATGAAAAGTATTTCAAGTTTTTAGGCTTGTTAAATATAATCTCGCCGTACTGTAACTAATGTTCCCACTTAGATAAAGCAATCATTAATATTAAGTTTCTCAATTGGATCTTAGTCTAGAATAATTATCAACTAAAAAAAGCGTAAAGGTCAACGTGTCATATGTTCTCTTCTCGCTTTATTTATGGTTTATTTTTAATTATTAGTGGTGGCAAGTGGACAAGGTGTCTCCGATCAAGCTGTTCGACGAGAACAAGAGCCTCGCAGGGCTGAACCTGCGGCACCTGCTCTTCCAGCACGGGCGTGCGGACTACGTGCGCCGCGCTGTAGACAACGTGTTCGCGCTCTGGGGCCAGGGCAAGGTCAAGCCGCTCGTTGACTCCACCTGGGCACTTGAAGACGTAAGTCATAAATGGATTAACACAGTTAATGCTTAAATGAATTTGTGAGACTGTGGTTCTGTGGTATTCGGGCTAATTTTATATATTTTAATTATGTTGCCTGATTTAATTTTTATTCAATAACTTTAGGTCGGCGAGGCTATGCAGAAGATGCACGATCGCAAGAACATTGGCAAGCTAGTTCTCGATCCTTCTCTCGAGCCGAAGCCGAAGCCCGCCACGCCCGCCAAGGGCAAGGCCGGCAAGGAGAAGAAACCCGCCAAAGAGAGCTCCGAAGAGAAGAAGGACAAGGAGGCTAAGGACGAAGACAAGAAGGCGGCAGAAGACGGCCAGAAGAACGGCGAGAAGAACGGTGAGGACCCACTCACTAACGGTAACAGTGACGAAGGTCAGTCTCGAACTAATGTGACCAGGCATGTGTAGTTGTGTAGACGCTTTACATCGTATATCTATTTATAATTATTCATTTTTATTTTGGCTTATTTTTTCGAACTACACAATTGATTAAGCGCACATTGAAGGCTTCATCGTCACGCGACGGTGCCTTGTAAGCAGTCTTTAACTTTGCTTTGTTCAACGCAGTTTTACAGCAGCTTTTATATGAAATTTGCGTAGGGTGTACACAATTGATTTACATATCGACTTATCCGAAAGTTTTGCGTGATGTTACCTTCCGTGTCGAATGGGTCGATATATTTATTCAAACTCAATAGATAGAGTTGCTATTATAGTGACACCAAAGCTTTATCATTCACTTGAAATCACTTCATAGATAAATATAAATCACCGATCATTAAGGATGTGATAAAAATTTGAAGGCTGTTTTATTTTTTCAAAATGTGCGCTTAGTCGGCTTGGTTATGACTAGTCGAGTCATACGACCTTGAAAAATAAAATTAAGTATACGCTTAGCAGAAAAGACGTTTATAGATACACGGCATTGTTTTTGCATTAAAAGCAAACGAGATAATGCGATCTCGGAAGATAGCATGTATCAAACAATATTAATACGCTCTTATATGCTTGAAAACAACTTTGCAAATTATTTTACAAAGTATATCAAAGAGCTTTATCATATAAATAATAAATAGCTTTATATGCTTAATTTTAAATGTTGCTCAAACAAGCTACAGAGCTGTGACAACTTTTAACGTATTTAGACCAAGTCATTTAAAGCTATTCAAAATAGAAAGCAATTGCAATAAAAATGTTAAAGCTAAGTTCAATCCCGCGCGGAAATCTCATCCGTGTGATACAAGATCGACCCAAATTACTATTTCGATTTTCGTTTATTGAGCAACCTACTGGGTACTTAATGGGCAAATTGTCGCGGGTCTCATGTGATTTTTTTTAAATTACGATGTATACGGTGTCTGTTATGTTAATATTACATTTTCAGAGTCGAAGGAGAAAGAGAAGGAGTCTAGCTGAATTCGTCCAGAAGCCTGGAGCCAACGAACCACCGCCGATTCATTATTTTAGAGTTGAAGCTGATGTTAGGATGGCACGCATCGCCACCGCCACCGCTTGCACACGGCGCGCGCGCGCGGCCGCCATTACTGTGTTGCCTCATGTTTTATTATGTTTAATCTAAAATAAATAAGTCTGACCGCGGCCCTGTTCAATTCTTTTATAGCTTTCAAACATTTAACAGAATCGAACATGGTCGATAATTTTTATTCTTAAATTAGTTTAGTTCGTATTCCATTTTTCACCACATTCTATTTTTTTTATTTCCATTAAATTAACGGACGAAATAGGATTTGACAGAGGACAGCGAATTAGCAATGAATTCTATAACGGTTTAATTTTTTTTAATCTGGCCTAAGTTATGATTGTTTTTAAACTCACAAATCTTTTATAGTTTAATGTTTAAGACCTTATTTTAAGATGAGATATTTTAATCAGCAGTTATTTTGAATGGCTATTATATATCTAAGGTGCAGAGATGCTTAATGTTTATGTATGTTAAGCTTTAATATTTTATTAGTAAATGTTTAAAATTTGGCCCTTGAGACCCGACCCAGGCCGGGCTCGCCCCGCGCCCCTCGCCCCTCTACACGCCCCGCCGCCCGCACTCCGCCCCCGCTGCTGCACATCACTCATATTTCTATCTTCAATCTTACGTGTGATATTTTGTAGTAGGTGTGTCGAATATTTTGCGGTTCTATAACATGACATTATTTTCTATTGAGCTAAAAATGCGATTTAGTATTTTATATTTATATTTTTATACTTAGAAGTTTTGTAAATTATTTTCTAGTTAAGAAATTTCCCCTGAAAGTTAAACTTGTGCACCGGTCATTGTGGGGTATAGTTTGGATCGGATCAAGGCTTGACGTCTCGATGTACCTCCGAGGCGCGTTAGATAGTTTCTTATGGGACGAGCTCGTTGGAATCTAACGTATTGTGAAGTACCGTAGCAGTCTAAAAATTCAAATAAAATTCAACTTAATCAATGGCACCTAAGATATAAGTCATATTTTTGTAACCGAATGACTACGATTAGATCTCTCGATATAAAATGTTTTCTTACGTACCTTTACACACAAATATATCACATATCTAACCATAATAACTCTCACACAACGTATATTAGGATAATATTTTGATACCAATATTCACTGCATTTGTTTTTGATAAAACTAGCATATTTTAAACTATTTCCGTAACGATCGTTTTGATAAGATTGTAAGTATACTTTTATCGGCATAATGTACAGTACGGTCGTAGTGTACTCAGTACTAGAGAACGATGTATCTGTAAAGACATATCATACGGATATAAAATAATCAGTGAGAGGCTGACTGTAGTCCGGAACCGCCGAAGTGTAACGAGGCCGTAGAGGTTCCGCCGCGACCGCCGCGACCGACGCGTTCTGCTCAAATAACAATAAACCTGCCGCAGCGTTGACGCAATGTATGTTCGACCGATGCATTCCCTCGAGACTTCATTCTCTTAGCATTTTTATATGTACCTTTACCTTTTTGGATGTGTTTAGCACGAGCATAGTTTGCGTTAGCGCGTCCGCGACTGCCGCGTCCCCGCGTCGCCGCTGCTTCCTTGTCGTTGTTGTATGGTGGCTTGGTGCTAGTTTCTTGTACGCGGGATACTATTCGCTTCAGTGTCTCGGACCAAAATCTTTTAAGCTATTTTGAATCTTCTTATCATTAATATTCTTCGCTTTATGTGTCAAATATGTGCGAATTTGTCGTAACGTAAACGTATATTATTGATTTAATCTTGTGTATATCAACCTGTATAATGGTTTAGATTTATCTGAATATCTTCTTCTATAAGAATATCTGACATTCAATAGTCGACCGGGCTGGGGTGACCGCGCCATTTGTGGTTGTGTCAAGAATTTGCTGTAGATCTAGATATCTTCAGATAGGGATTAGCGATGCCAATATTGATTGCCGCCGGAACTCTAAAGATCGAGAAACCTGCGCCGTCACACCAGCCGGCTTTAACAGGCTGGGTCGTTGTTTGTATTACACATTTATTTTTGTAAGGGCGGGCCAGTGTGATATCTATACTATGAAATGGATAAATAAATATGTATGATCTGTAAAAAGTTGTTTTTATTTCAAAATTCCTTTCCTCGCAAAAATTATTAATTTCAAAATTAACTATTTATTAAAAATCTGCTTGTTCTTTGTCCTTACACACAACTTGCTAAGAAGAAAGCAAAAACTATGCAGCTGAACAAAAACTTAAAAAATCAACTTCAATTGTTTTGCATAACATCTAAAATCAATGAGAGTTTCTCATATAGGAACGGAGTAAAAGTCAAATTTACGTAACTACTTAATGAATAAAATTAGTAGAATAGAATAGAATCATTTTATTAACATCAATCTAAATAAATACCATAAACAACAACATTTGCATAAATGTGGCAATTTTCAAAGTTGTGTGCGGCAAATCCGTCTCTTTGGTGGTCCCAAAGGAAGGAGTGAAACACGTGAACGCTCTGCTGCCGCTTTTGACCTATTGTCACCGACACTATTATCCTGTACCTGAGGATTATTTTAAGTAATGAAATGCAAACTTTTTAGTAATAATTAAATAAATAATTATACAAAGAGCTTTCAGATATAGAAAGAATTAAAAAAATTGTAAGGTAATCTTAAGATTATCCGAGAACAATAAACACGTTCCAGATCTATGGGAAACAGTAACTTTTCTGTGTTTATGTTAAAAGCTACATCTTACTAATATTACAAATAAAAATGTTTAGATGGATGGATGTTAATTTGATGGTATCTCCAGAACAGCTAACCGGGTTTCAATGAAATTTGTCATACACATAGAACATAGTTTGGAATAACACATAGACTGCAAATTATGTTTCGTTAATAAAGCGTCATGGACGACCGCTAGTGCTAAATGCAACCATACCTATCGTACGCTTGCTCCTTTATCGCTGTTCTAATGTTTTCAGCGAGACTGTTGCACAAATCAGGAACTACTTTTTCGTTGTATTCGACTTCTTGTAATTCGGAGTCAATGTATTGTTGAAGTATTTTCCTAACATCTTCAGGGTTAAAACTTTTTCTTGGTTCTAGTTGGTAAGTCGGCTGATAAATCCGAATCTGTTTCGAAAGGGACTTCTTTTCAGACATTGTTTTTCATTTAATAGAAAAATAACACTTTTCCACAATGGCGTAAGATTTTAAGTCGATCTGTGGCTAATATTGTATACTTTATTTTTGGAATAAGCAGATTTAATAACAAACTTATTTCGAAATTTCATATAAGAGAAGCTTTGTCTAATCGATATAGATTTAGTTGCCGGGTTATAGTGACCAGTAAGCAACGAGAAGGAACTAAAGCCATCGTACAGAGAGGTGAGTGGCGGAGGAATGTAAGAAATAAAAGTATAATAAAATGCAAGTGGTTTTGAATAACTGATGAAAAATACGTATGCGTACACGTATTTTGGAAAATTTCAGTCCCATTTTTTTTCCTACAGCAGTTAGGGGTAGACCATTTTTAAATGTTCGAGCGTGAATTTAACTTTCATCCTTTTTTTAGGTTGATATATCAGCGCAAAGAGTATATAAAATATATCAGCATAATAATTGCCCTAGGATATTTGGATTTTGGATATTTTCCGAGGACTTAGTAGATAAAAAATCCTAATCAAGCGTGGTTATGTTGTTTCTGTAAAGCTCAAGTTAAACAATAATTGACAACAGAATAATTTTACTTTGTACCGCTGATCGCACCTTTCTTGCTGCCCTAGCACATCACACCAAACTTTCTGTCGTTTGTTTTTCTGTAAAAAAAAGAAATAAGATACTTGCCAATTTCTGCTTGCTAAGATGGCGACCCAGTATAATATCGCGCAACCTTAAAGATGTTCTCTTAGATTCTTTTGACATTTTTATAGCTTCTGACAAAATGTTGCATCAATGTAACTTACTAGATTTAAACAAAAGATAATGAAATCATATAAAAATCCCATCAACGGAAAAGCTGTGATTGTTATTTTGGTTTAGCTTAAAGGTCTCTTAACCAGGTCAAATAATGAAAAAAAAAACTTTTAAACTCATCAAATAAACTGACATGTGCCACTGATAATCACTGTCATTGTCAGATAAATAGTTTCAAATATTCTAACAAAAAGAAAACCCAGTTTATAGTACGAAAAAAAAATATATTTGCATCTCTAACACCAACAACAACATACAATGCAATGAAATGCACGTAGAGGTTTGGCACTATAAATACGTATTAAGTTTATCAAAAACATTGAAAGATTGGTGTTGGGTATATTGTGTTATAGTTAGATTACTGTTATCTTTTGAGCGGCATTCACTATGAATAAGGTGTTTTTCAATAATTATGTGATATTTTTCTAGTGTTGAATTGAAATTCGTATAATTGCATAGTATATCGTACAATAATAGTTTATTCAAGCTTTCCTGTTATTTTTATATTACAGATGATAACCGATTACTATAAAATAAATCGCAGTAAAGTAGTTCAAAATATGGACGGTACTCCACAAAAAAGATATAATTTAAGTTTAAAGTCAACGACGCCAAATAAAATGGTGAAAACCGATCAAACTGTAGATGTTATTGATTTGTGCAGTGATGAAGAGACAGATACTAACACGGATAATACCAACAGTGCTATTAAATCTTCTCCAATGTGTTTACGGTTCGATGATTCAGATACTACCAATAGTACTATTTTATATACTCCAAAAACTCCAACTAATAGTTACGAGAGCACTCCAAAGAAAATTAATAGTCCTGGAACATCAAAAAAGTTCTTTTCTCCAACCAAAAATCGTCTGGTAAATACACCACAAAAGGCAAAAAAGAACTTGCATAACATGTTTAACTCCAGCGATGGGGCTCTTGATGAATCATTTCCCGATGAATTTAAAAGTTATGATGATAAAAGTAAGTCATATTTATATATTTAAATCAAAATCTTATTCTTTTTATTATTTTATTTATCAACTTTGTTTTTTAACATATAATTTTTATACAGCCATGTTTCTATTGAAGATTATTCACAATTATCTTTATGATGAGCCTCTGAGGAAACTGTTACCTGAATCTGTACACAATCTACTGAGTAAGACTTTGGAAGTAGTGAAGCCGGGCATGCGTTTGATATGTAGATTATTCTGGCGCAAAAGATGCTGGTATAGAAGAGAGGATGCTAAAAAGATTGCTGGTGGAGACAACAATATTGATGATCCTCATTTTGAGTTTATGATCAATTCTTTAGTAGAGCAAGGCTTCATCAAGTATTCTGCAAATGATGGTAAGATTTTACTGTAATTTATCTATATTCTATACACATTAACAAATTTAGAGTGTCAGTATGTAATATAGAGAAAAAAAACATATTTGGTACACATGATGTACAGTCAGCGTCATATAGATCGTCACAGACAAGATATGCAAATATATAGGCACATCAAAAGTAATCAATTATATCGGTACAACAAAAGTCCTCAAAATAATAGATACATTCACCCTGCTCAAATACATCGGTACATACACAGCGTCAAATATATGAGTACATGCAAGATGCTCATAAATATCGTAGCAGCCACAGCGTCATAAGTAACGAAGCAGTCAAGGTGCGCAAAAATATCGGTACATTTGACAAAATTGAACTCTATCTCTATATACTTGTGATACAATTTGGAATAAACTCCTTCTGTTACATTCATTTGACACTTTGTATTAACATTATAGGTTGTCCGGAAAGTTCGTTCTGATTTTCGATATAAAGCTTACAATAGACTGCAGCTGAAGTGGATTCATTTTCGGATTTCCACCATTATCAAACGTCACAAAAATTTCTATATTGTGAATAATTTCATTTCATTGGTTGAGATAAAAACTAATTTTTAAAATTTTAGCCAAAAATAAAAGACGTTTTAGGTATAGAGTCGTACCAATATAATTTAAAACCATTTCCAAAAATTTAAGAGGACAGGGTTTCAATTTTCCTTATAAAGCGGCACGAACTTACTGGGCAACCCAATATTTTTCTTCTCCTGTCATAACGCTTAAATATATTATAAAAGTTTGTCACGCCGAATATGACAGATACGTAATAACTAATATCAAATTTTGCCTTGTCACAATATATACTAGTTTGGCGCAGTATTCTAGTATGTTTGCCGTAATATGTAAGTTTACCGGTTCGAATCTCAGGCTACTTTTTTTTCATTTTATCAATCACGTGGTTATTTTTTCATAACCAGTAAAAATTTGGTAATGTAAAATTTTGCTCGACAATTTTTTTTTATAATTTTCGCTGTCGGGTAGAAAGAAATTTAAATAAAGTTAACAACAATTAAGTCAGACCATCGTGGTTGAAGTGAGTGGGCGGAGCGTGGATTGTCTTTGCGGGTTTTAAGAATGGTACGCGCGGAAACTATACGTACAAGTGTTATCTACATATGTGTGCGCGCCCACGCACACTGGAATGTTTATTGCAATCGACCAAAAATTTGATGTAGTTTGGATATTGACATTCAGATTTTTTTTCTTTGTTTCTTAAATATAATCAGTATCAGTAAAAGGTAAAAGTAAAAGTGTTATTTTTACCGGTACAAGTTTAACAAACATGAGTAATAAACAAATTACATGTCAATAGCATCACTTTATCTCCTTCATTTTTGTTTGAAATAGAAAAGTACTTTAGCGTTCAAACTCATTAGTCCAAGGCAATATCAAAAAGTACCTAATATCAAAAAAAAAATAGTTGCTTGGGATTTGAATCGCCGAACTTACGTACCAACGGCGGCGAACGGTAAGGCCACGAGACCAAACTAGCATATATGATGACAAACTTAAATTTGATGTTGGTTTTATCTACGTAATATCTGTCATCCGCGTCGAACACTTTTAGTAAATTTTGAAAAATGGTTTGATGCAAAGTGTCAAATGAATGTAACAGAAGTAGTTTATTCCAAATTGTATCACAAGTATATAGAGATAGAGTTCAATTTTGTCAAATGTACCGATATTTTTGAGCACCTTGACTGCTTCGTTACTTATGACGCTGTGGATGCTACGATATTTATGAGCATCTTGCATGTACTCATATATTTGACGCTGTGTATGTACCGATGTTTTTGAGCAGGGTGAATGTATCTATTATTTTGAGGACTTTTGTTGTACCGATATAATTGATTACTTTTGATGTACCTATATATTTGCATATCTTGTCTGTGACGATCTATATGACGCTGACTGTACTTGAGGTACTGAATGTGATAATTTGTCTGTCCGTGTCTGTCTACAAGGCTGTGTTTATTCCAACTTTTGTCTGGAATGGCTGGACCAACTTTGATGGGAAAGTACATTATTTTACTTTATATTACAGACAAATATTATTTTTTAAATCTGTGCTGACAAAGTGGCTTGGACTTCTAGTTTTTAATAATTTCCTAAGTACTTCTAAATTAGTATAACTTGTGGCCTTTGAAGAAGTGAGCATACTTCTTGATTAAAGTCAATTCATACAAATCTTCTGATGTTGCAGATGTGCAATAGCTTTAGTAATCCCTTAACACTATCAATATAAGTAGTTTGTATATCATATAGAAAATATGAATGTTATGACTAATAACTGTGAACATTGCTTATCTATACTAACATTATAAAGCGGAAGAGTTTGTTTGTTTAAATGCACTAATCACAGGAAATACTCATAAGGTGGCAAACGAGCGAGCGGCCACCTGAAATCGAAATAGCGAAGTGTCCGTTGCCCATAGACATACGCAGTTGCATATGCGTTGCCTGCCTTTCATCGACGGAGGAGAGGATGCACAGAATGAAAATATATTCCCTTTCCATGCATCCTCTCATCCGGAAAGTCCACTTCCACTTCCACTTCCAATCCTTTCCTTATGAGAAAAAGGTGGGAAGGGAAAGAGGACTAAATTAGGCCTCCGGGACGCACACTCATCAGACGAAACGCGGAATTGCTTCCACTTCACGCCTGTCTTCTGTCTGGTCGTGGTATTTCACCGGGCGAGCCGGGCCAATTCGTGCGAAGATGTTAAAGCGGGCTCTACCACTGTTAAATCGTCCGATTTGAAAAATTCTTTTTTTGTTGGCAAGGCCATTTATGGAGGAAGGCTTTAGGCGATATAACATTAAGCTGCGACCAATAGTTTTTTTTAATTCTGCGGAGTCGTGGGCGACAGCTAGTCTTATCTATATATAATTGTTTTTTTTCCTGGTATACATATGTTGTATTTATTGATGTCATAATGTTTCTATCTATTAAATAAAGTGATTTATCAATTAATGATTATCAGAGATAACGGAAAGGATAATGCGCAAGAATTACTAAGTGCTCTATAGTAATTGGCTTTATTTCTATGAGACATATGAAAAAAATTAAAGTAAAACTATAGGTAATAAAATAAAGAATTTCATTATGTTGTTTATGAGATGCTTACAATATATTACTTCTTACTAATATTAAACATACGAATGTTGGGATGGATGGATATATGGATGTTTGTTAGGAGGTATCTCCAGAATGTCTACATGGACCTAAATTAAATTTGGCATAAAAGTAGAACATAGTATGAACCCATAGGCTACTTATTAAGTTATTTTTTAATTCCGCCCAGATGGAGTACTAATGTTTCATTTAATAATGTTAATATTTGTTTACAGTAAATTGCATGACATTTGATGATTATGTTGAAGTATTGAAACTTAATGAATTAAAAGATGTATGCAAAGATTTGAATATTAAAGTGAAGACTAAACAAGAGGCAATAACGTCTTTAAAGAACTTTATTTCCCGCACTGTCAATATAAGCAATTATTTCAAAGGTGAAAAGAGTAGTAATGCAAATAGAGGAATGGAAAAGTAAGTATAACAGTGCCAAAATGATTCTGTTCACTGGTTTCATAATTAAAAAGACAAAGGTAATATGTGGCCGGTATGCCACATATTTGGCAGAATGTTTAATTCTGCTCTCAAAACCTGGACCTATAGATATAAAAAAAAAACTAAGAATATATATTTCTGAATAGTTTTTATTATTTAAAATATTTTTTCCTGCAGATTGAGACTCAAAGCTGGTAAATGCTATAGACTGAGTGAAAGCGCTGATGTGACATTTACAAAGTTATATTACCTTATGTATTTTGGAATTGACTACAGTATAATAAGAGAAAGTAAATTGGAATTAATACTTCTTAATAGCAAAGTGAAAAAGGAAATTTATCCAATAAATGATGATATTACGTTAGACAATGCAAGTGTGGTTTTTAATACGAGTGATGAATTTGAAAGGTAAAACAATACTTTGTTCACTATTTTTTTTTTAATCATTTTCATAAATGGAGCGAAAACTTTGTATCTTTTTAAGGAATTCGAACAAGATTCGAGTTAACGAGAAGTGCTGCAAACTTTTTTAAATTAAGCATAAATATCTTTGTTTATGAATTAATGTCGAATTTTGAAAAATGGGCAACTATAAGCTTCTATTCTTGTTATATATCAAGTTTTATTGCTATAAAAACTTCGCAGGCACTTTAAATTTTTATGAAAGTTAAAAGTAAATTTTTTGTATACATTTCAGTTACATGAACGCATATAAAATTTCTCAAAAATGGCATATAGCGAATACTACTGATGAAAAAATTGTCATCAGCTCTATGGTTTATAGTTTGTACAAGAATCTTAGTGAAGAAGAATGGAATTAGTAAGTGACATTACTACTTTACTAGCTGTCGTCCCCGACTTCATCCAAGAATTAAAAAAACTGAATAGTCTATGCTATTTAGGACTATAATCTATCTCTGTTATATTTCATCATGATCTGTTCAGCTATTCTTGATTTATGTGTTAACAAATATACATATATCCATCCAAATTTTCGTATTCAAAATATGAGTAAAAATTTTTAAACACTATTATCCATGTAAAATGTACCATTTTACTTCTTACTACTATTATAAATGCGAATATTTAGATGGATGGATGTTTGATTTAATGAATCTAAAAACGGCTGAACAGATTTTGATGATATTTGTCATACATATAGGACATAGTCTGGAAGAACACATAAACTATAATACTAATTCAGTTTTTTTTAATTCCGCGCGGACGGAATCGCGTGAAACAGCTAGTGATTCATAAAATGATTAATTACAGTTACAAATCATTGCCTTCATGGTTGCGAAAGTACACACCGGGACACATATACATCAAGTTATTAGAAAAAAGTGTACCGGAGTTGAAAAAGATGAAAGAAAAGAAATATATTAAACAGGCACTGAAAATTCTGACCACGTTGATACAACAGTCTGCCTTTAGACAACATAAAAAGTCTCTGTGGTACGCTGAAAAGGCACTTATTTTGGAAAAACATGAAAACTCTTATGAGAAGGTACTGTTTTATATTTTCGTTTGAATGACAATATATGTGAATATTTATACAGGGATTTTGGTCTCAGAAACTAACAATTAGAAATGTGATGCGTTATTCATGTTCTACTTCAACAGATTTTTTTTTTAAATAATAAAAATATTTATACTTTTAATCTTTATATATATAATTCTTCTGTGAGTGTGTATGTCACTGAACTTCTCTCAAACGACTGGACCGATTTTGATGAAATTTTTTGTGTGTGTTCAAGGGGATATGGGAATGTTTTAGATTCACAATTGTCATCAAATATTAACTTCATATTAATTTATTCAAATTAAAGACGTGTAGACCGGACAACGTCTGTCGGGTCCGCTAGTTTTATATATATATATATTTATTTTGTTTTCAATTCAATATCTGCAGTTATCTAAATTACTGTTATTTTTCATAGTAAATTTTAGTATAGATGCAATTGGTCAAGTTTTTTGTATTAATGTATATTTCAATGCACATTATATGTTAAGAAACTATCTTTAACTTTAGGTAATAGATAAGAGAAGACGCTGTCTTCTGAAACACAGTTTCAACTAGTTCCGGAGACAAAACCACAAAATTTTGTGAAAAATGTTTTTTCTTTGCCAATTAAAGAATTTTTATTATTTTTTATTAATAAGTTACTTTATAACTTGCTTAAATTTCAGGCAGCAGAGGTTTTGTTAGAGGGACTTAAGTCTGATATAGAGGAGGATTGTAAATGTGAGATGCGACCACGAGCTTTTAAACTGGCAACATTGAAGTGTACAGAACTAAGTGATGAGTTGCGACAACAACTGCTACAATGTGCTCTACTCAACTCTGTCAAGGAGAATGATTTTGAAGCAAAACATATTTATAAACAACCAACAGAGTAAGTATTTTTAAATTCCTTATTAACACATTCAATGCCATCGACTCGCAATTTCACACTTGAAAATCGCAGTGCCATTTCACGTGTTAATATTGAAATTCAGTCCTAAATGCCTTTCTTTATTGTGTAAATGGATTGATTTAAGCATTTCTACACATTTTGTTCAGTTTCATTATTCAAGTTTTACAAATTTTTATCATGATATTCTCTGATTTCTTATATGTTAGGAAATATTGAAATTTAATGAGTACTAGCTGTCGCCCGCGATTCTGTCCGCACAGAATAAAAAAACATAATAACCTATGTGTTCTTCCAAATTATGTTCTCTATGTATGCCTAATTTCATCGAGATCCGTTCAGCCGTTCTGGAGATACCTTCAAACCATCATCCATCCATCTAAATATGCAAATTTATAATATTAGTAAGTCAAGTAAGAAGTAAAATTAATGCTTTTTGTTTATTGTAAAATATCAGGACGTGTAACAACCGCGGCAAGATAAAGTTTGAAACGTTGACGTCGGACGGCAGCCGCATGTTCCTGGACGCGGAGGAATACTGCATTGAAGAGTATATAAATACTGGAGAATACACTCACGGTAAAAGTCCAATACTCAAAATTTCAATCTTCCAACAATCCAACATTTCAATCTTCCAACATTCCAACATTTCAATCTTCCAACATTCTAACCTTCCAACATTTCAATCTTTCAACATTCCAACATTTCAATCTTCCAACGTTCCAATCTTCCAACTTTCCAACATTCCAACATTTCCATCTTCCAACATTTCAATCTTCCAAAATTCCAATCTTCCAACATTCCAACCTTGGCACATACGAATATTCCAACATTCTCAAACATTTCTCTAGTTCTTTCCTTTCGAAGATTTACTGATTTTACTGAATCCCAGGATATATATGGATTAATTCTAGAATAATTGTTACATATTTGTCAGATGTCAACTCTCGTATATTTTGCAGGCGGCCATTGGGAGGGCAGGATTATATCGACGATATTCTTCGTGTTGTTCTGGGACATAATATACGTACGTCTGCCCGGCGTGCGCGGCGTGTTCCTGTCCCAGCTGCAGATGTTCCCGCAGGATCTGTTCACTGACAGCTTCTATGTGAACCGCAAGGCCCTCATCGACGACCGCCTCAGAGAGATCAGCAACGCGACAGAGAGTGAATTGTTGACCTGGATACAGGAGACTTGGGATGCACGCCCTGAAGGTAACAACTATTTGCTAACCCCTTTTTCGACAAATTTTAAACTTATTTTTACTTTTGCAACTAATTTAGTATTACTTAAGAATAACTTTTTTTATTTTCACTGAGTGTCTCAAGACAGTAATATTTTTTCTTTGTGCCCACTTGTAGCCTAAAAGATTGAAGTGATTGTGACGAATTAGGTGTCATTACATCCGTACCTGTGTGTCGTAGGGGTGCAGTCAGATTGTTTTTTTTAATTTTTCAATTAACAAATATTGTTTTAATTTTTTATTATCTATGTTGCAGGCGAACTGTCAGGCATAACGCGCAGTATCGGGGTGGAGCGTGTGAAGGCGGTGTGCCGGTGCCTGGGCGGCGCCGCCACCAGTGCTCTCTGCGCCCGCCTCGCCAAGGACTACCGCCGCACACACAGCGGCTTCCCAGACCTCACACTATGGAATCAAATCACCAAACAGGTACTACCAACATGTGACCAAACATCAAACATGTACCACCAACATGTGACCAAATATCAAACATGTACCACCAACATGTGACCAATCATCAAACATGTACCACCAACATGTGACCGATCATCAAACATGTACCACCAACATGTGACCGATCATCAAACATGTACCACCAACATGTGATCGATCATCAAACATGTACCACCAACATGTGACCAATCATCAAACATGTACCACCAACATGTAATATTTTTAACCAGATAAAGTTCGTGGAGGTGAAGACGGACTCTGACAAGCCGTCTGTGAAGCAGCTGCAGTGGCTGCGCTACTTGGTGGACGCGGGGCTGCGCGCGGAGTTCTGCTACGTGGGCACCAACACCACGCGCTGCAAGGCGCGAGCCGCACCGCAACACCTATAGCCTACTCACCTATACACTAGCGATAGAAAGAGACCGCCTTCACTTTGTGCCAATAACTTTTTATTATTAGATTATGACCTGTTTACATTATTCCAGTCTAAGATCCAGTGCTGGATTGCAACTGATATATATACAACACAGTGCATTCTGGCGTGCTATCATATTTTCGAGTTGTATTCCAGTGCTGGATTTAACAACTGGTTTGGACAATTTTCGATTTTAATAACGTTGCCGCCTTATAATGTTTTATCAATGTGCGTATTAGTCGGGTTGGACCATAAATTAAGATGTTGAAGATCTTTGTAACTGACTTCCAAAAGGAGGAAGTTATAAATTATATTCTATCATTACTATCGTTAAATTGAACAGGGTCATAATTTTTTTTTTCTATTTTCTATGACTCTTGTAGCAATAAACATGTCAAAACATGTTACTAGGAAATTAAGTTTCAACAGATTTGATGACTAAAGTACAATTATTAACAGTTATATTCTTAAGTTATACAGATTCGTTTACTAATTCTAGCTTGAATAAATATCTCACTAATATAGTTTTATTGCATAAATCTCTTAAAACTAAAAGCGTCAATAGCCTAATGGTTAAGGGTACGGATTTCCGATCACGAGGTCGGGGGATCGAATCCCGCCTGTCGATCGAGTTGGAATGGTTAAAGAAATATTAGTAAATTAAATTTACAAAAAATCTGCTAATATTTTAACAAAAAAAAAACTCTAATGTATTCTAGGCAGAACGCACGAATCTACTATTTTATATTGAAAAATAATCAGATCCTTTCAAAAATATTTTAAAGATATCATGTCTCCTCATTTCTAGTTAAGTACAATCACAAATTTACAAACATTAATCACTAGATATATATACGTTAAGTGAATGATTTTGCAATTTAATTTATAGTCGTAACATTGCATTGAATGCAGTTTAGCTTTTAGTTACAAAATGTGTTACTAATTTACGACCTATAATTATGTAAGTACATATTACGGCGTCGATGGCTCAGGAATCAAGCACTTGACTTGCAATCTGCAGGTCCTGGGTTCGAATCCCGCCATGTACCAATGTGTTTTTCGATTTCCGATTTACATATGTACATTTATCCGACGTTCTTACGGTGAAGGAAAAGTCGTGATGCTGCACATATCTGAGAAGAAATTCAAGGTATGTGTGAAGTCAACCAACCCGCACTTGGCCAGCGTTGTTGACTATGGCCTAGTCATCCCTAACTTAGGGTAGGCTCCGAGCCCCTCGGTGAGGACGTATAGTGAACTGATGATGATGATGATGAGGTACATGTAGATTTGTAGGTAAGATCTATAAAATGATATTTTTATTTTGACATTGACTATCAGATTAAGTAGGTACCATTTATATTTTTAAGTCTTATATCCCACAAATTGTATATCATCATCAGCTCATATATCCCCACTGAGGGGTTCGGAGCCTGCCGTAAGTCAAAGGTGGCTATAGTCAACCACGCTGGCCTGTGCGGGTTGACTTCACACATCGCTTTGAATTTCTTGGTGGGATTCGAACCCAGGATCTGCAGATTACAAGTCAATTGCTTTAACCCCTGAGCCACCGACGCTATAAGCTCTAATTGTAAGTCTATGATATGTCTATATTATTCAGGTGCTCTATTATTTTTGTCTATGGTTAAATATTTCTTGTGCCTTAACAAACGTTTATCACTGCCGCCCCCTGGTGTCCACTAATGTGTTGGAATTGGTACATGTTACAAAAAAAATGAAATGCTTCTGTGCTTCTCATTTTTTTTGTAACATGTTTTACAGTTTTTAAAGCAGTGGAAACGCATACTTTAAAACATTTTGTGTAAGAATTTCGTTTTGCTTTACATACGTAATATTAAAAGCTGACATATTGCATGTTTATTTCAGCGGTATTTATTGCATTTATTACAGTACTATAGTTTTCAGATATCTAGGCGGTTTTTAAATGCGTGACTTGGAGGCGTAGCGGGATGCGACTTGAGGGTACTGCGCATCTCCTTGAGCCGCCAAGATATTTGAAAAGAACTATACTAAATACAAGAGCTATATTTATCAGGAGTGCCATATTTATATTGAAATTATAAAAAAAACAGTTTATAATATTACGCACAGTATTTCATAATTCATCTTTCTGTTCCGTTTATTTTTGACTAATTAGTACTTAAGCTAGTAAAATATCAAAGTATTTTGATAGTCAAATACATATATTTTTTATATATAGTTTTAAGATGTTTTGTATTCAAAATATTATATTAAAATATATATGTTTACTGAATATGATTCGTTAATATTTGAATATTATCTGACTCCCGCGATTCCGTCCGCGCTGAATTAAAAAGAACCTTAATTAGTAGCCTATGTGTTCTTATTTTCTGTGCTCTACATCTTTGCCAAATTTCAGTGAGATCTATGCAGCCGTTGTGGAGATACTTTCAAACAAGCATCTATCCATATTAGTAAGTCGTAAGATTTAAAAGTGGAAATGACTTGTTAAAGAGTCTTGATATTATACTTTAAATGAATAATCTCCGACAATGGATTTAACGACCTGCAACCGTTTGCTTAGAGAAGAAAACAAAAAATAAAATTGACATTTATTAAACGTCAACTTTGAAAAGTCATAATTTTTGATGTTTTACACAAGAAATATAAAGTTAACAACAAATAAAGAAGTAAAAGATTGTATTTTGGAGTGCGCGAAGTCAGACAAACAGTCAAGCTGGCTATGTTCACAGTATTTATTCCACTGCTTGCAATGTCCGCAGTATCCGCTATATCTGTTCTCTTCTTATATTGCAAAAACAGAGCGGACAGGAGAAAAGGTTACATGGACGTCAAAGAGAAACCATGAGAAATTACGAAATACATATTCAATTATCTTTATGCTACCAATAAAACACATTTTGTAATAAGGTGATTTATTTTCTATATATCTATCAAATTTTAACGCTTATTTACATTTAGTAACAGGACAAGGCACATTAAGGTAAGTCTTAAAAGTTAAATTGTTCCTAAACCGAACGTTACCCTTAGTTCCCACTGTACAAACTGTAGACATACTATCGTCTCTTTCATTCCGTTTGAAAAAACAGAGATAACTATGTTTTTGTACATTGCTATTGTAGTGGAAACTAACGATTACGTTTCAACAACGATACGAACTCCCACCTCTAAAATATAATCTATGTAAACACCAACAACATTATACGAAATTATATTCATAGGAGAGAGCAACTTGATCGTAATTATTTTTTTAATACAAGAATTCGAAATGTGTACTTTTTGACAACCCTATAAAGAGTAGGAACAGTATAGAAAACAGACACACAGTACAAATAAGTTCAGATCACATCGACTCAAACCTTTGAGGTGCGACTCAACAACTTTCAGGTCACTGCTTGCGACTCGAACAGATGGTGCGCTTTACATTTCATACTGACCGGTGATTCGCAACTCAAAAGGCATAATTAACAAGATACTGATTTATGAAATTACCCTCTCCTATAAAAAATATGAAAATTAAATTGAGCATTTTACTATACAATATAAATTGGCAAAAGCTTCCCCTCCATTTTGTTGCTTACTATTATTACATATTGCAACACTAGTATGCATCATTTAATATATTACTCGAAACAATTATGTATAAACATTTTTTTTAAACATTAAAAAATCCTAGGAAATTAAAATCAAGTCCTAACCATCACCTAACTTTAATGGTAACAAAGAGTAAAGAAAGTATAATTTTAAAATATCTCCTCATTTTAATTTAATCTTATTATAACAATAAAATACAATTTTGGTTTCGAATTAACATTAATATGAAACTATTATTTCGTCTTGTATTTAATAAAATACATTGATGGAATATCGGAAATATGGCAACATTTTAGGATAAAAAAAACAAAGGAAAGATTTTAATTGTTACGAAATGTATCACTTAAAAATCTAAACGTTATGATGCTAAAACCGTAATGGGGTAGGCAGTAAATATTTTCTAAAACCCCAATTTCAGTTCACTGGACTGATTATAAATTTATGTCTCAATTTAGTGTACTAATGTACTAACAAATCTAAATTGATTTTATATAGCAAAGAATACACTTTTAACATAAAAGTAATATTACCACGAATTTTGGTATAATTCATTAAATAAATAAAAAAAAAAATTGTCATTTCCATGCAACCATAGATAATTTACATAATCTGTGAAATCTTATGAAATGTATATAAAAAAAACCTTTCCACTTATCTAATAAAATGTATATAAAATATAGAAATAGTTTGTGTATAATTGATTAGTGAAAATTGTATACAATAACAAGGTAAAGCACTATAACAAGGTGATGTCGGAAGACTTCATCAGACGTGAACTGGGCTCCGGACTCCTGTATCAAAAAAAAAAACATTTATTAATATGACATTTCGTGTTTACAGATTCGCAGGCAATTTTTTTCAATTTTCTGGACGTGATTTATTTAAATTTTAACTTTAATTGACAGAAAGAAAAATTGTATGAATTATTTAATTTACCGCCTGATGAAACTTAAGAGCAATATTTGCATTCGGGCATTTTAATTTCGCACGTTATTTAAAATAATCTTAACTAATATTATAAAGAGGAAAGTTTAATTGCTTGCACTGAATAGACTCCAAAACTACAGAACCGATTCAAAAAATTCTGTCATTGTTGAAAAGCTACACTATCCCATTGTATCATAGGCTATATTTTTTTAATTCCGCGCGGACGAAGTTGCGGGTAAAAACTAGTACATTCATATTATTAAACGGTAACGGTAAAATAATTCGATTTGATAACGGCATTATCGTTAAGCGATCGTTGTTGGTCGTAATTTACATATGACTTAAGGTTTTTTATAAAATAGTGTTAGTGTATACATGTCAGGCTCCTGCTTGAAGGCGATGGAGTCGTACTGGTGGGCGGGCAGCTGCGGCACCAGCGCAGGCGACGCCCCGCCCCCACCGCCTCCAGCCCCGCCCCCGGACACGCCCTCTGATACGCTCTCATCTAACACCGCGGGCTCTGTCGATGCTCCTGTAAATAAATATAAAGATAAATAAATTCAAGCAACAACTACCGAATAGTATCTGGGTACATCTCTCTCGCCTCATTTGCATATTGATACATTGAGTTCACATTCAGATAAAATCCATATCGTTTGATCCTCATATTATAAATCCTGCGCTATCTGTCGGGCAGTTAACTTTTTCCTGAGAGCGTGCTTATTAAAGAGTCATGCTGTCAGGAATGTGTCATTACCTCCGAGCAGCATCTCCTGCAGCAGGCTGTCGACGTGCGCGACACCGAACAGCTTGGCGAACTGTATCTGCTCGATCATCTGCCAGGTGATGCTCTGCAGCGGCGGCAGACACAGCAGCAGCTCTCCGAAGCGGCCACGGCCCTCGTACTGCCGGTCGCTGATGTAGTCCTCCAGATTGATTTGCACCTGGTAGCGCAGCTGCTTGATCTTGTGCGGCTGCGACAGACCCTTCGCGTCTGCAACACACGATAACAATCTTATATACCTTTTCAAATAAAATGTCAA